TCCAAGATATTCTCGCCATTTTTTTCTTAAAAATCTAGCTAAAGAGTAAACTACAATTTTTGTCCCTCTACTTTGTTACAAACTGTGACTTTCGTCCTTGTATTTTTGAAATTGTAGTTTTTGTTCACATGGCTTCCAATCCATTTTTGTTTTTGTCCCTAAGATGAACTCCGTCAGTGATTTACAGTTAAATATAAATAAATTGTAAATTATAGGGACAAAAAAGTCAATAAGTTATAAACGACAAAAACAAAACCGTAATTTTGAAAATACAAGAAAGCTTACTCATAATTTAAAATATTTTTTAAAAATATAATTATTTATTTATTCATTGGATTTATAATTAAATACATTGTGAACCCGACCAAATCCGGTTTAGCCGCTTACGAATCGGACTTCCATGCAATTATTGACCCGGCCCAAACACGCTTAACCTCCTTTTCTCCTCCTTAATTCTATAAATTTTACAACTATTAATTATCCATTTTTATTAATTTATTTTATGTGAAAATAAAAAAATAATATTGATATTTGATGTATTTTATTTTTATTTAAATACTTTATTCTACATTGAATAAACATAATATCTATTTTATAATAATTATAAAAACGAATAATTCGAAAATTAATTAAATATCAAATGAAACAAACCTTTTTTTTATTATGATATAATTATATATATATATATATATATATATGTATATAGGGAAGGGTTCAAACGAGAACTCCTGTGATTTACGAAAACACGAGAACAATCCAATAACCTCATATTGTGATAAAAAATAAAATTAAAAGATTTTTAAAATTAAAATTGAAATTTAAAAAGATTCAAAATATATTAAAATTAAAAGGGTAATAATGGAAATGATATTTATAAAATCTTTTAACACAATTACACGATCATGATTATCATTATCTAATAAACGGTTAATCATGTGATTATCATGTGATATGGATGTGATAATCATGCGATTATCACACAATTATCACATTATCGTTTATATCAACACGATTTGGTATGATTTGGGTGTGATATGAGTGTGATAATTATGTGATTATCACACAATTATCAAAAGGATTCCGCTCGGCTAGGGTTAACTTAGAAAGTCAACTACTGATTTGGTGTGATATGTGTGTGATAATCATGTGATATCACTATTATAACAGCGCACTCGATTTGATCATGGTTTCGATCGGTTAGAGTTAGACAACCACACATTTATCACAACGATTACTCATGGTTTCGATATGTTATGATTAGACAATTACACATTTATCACAACGATTACGGGCGAAATCCACTAAACGATTTGGTGTGATATGAGTGTGATAATCATGTGATATCGCTATTATAACATCACTTACGCACTCAATTTGATCATGATTTCGATCGGTTAGGGTTAGACAATCACACATTTATCACAATGATTACTCATGGTTTCGATAGGTTATGGTTACACTTGATTGATCATGGTTTCGATAAGTTATGGTTACACAATCACACAATTATCAAGGGGGAGAAGATAGTGAAAACGAACGTGCAGAAAAAAAAAGGAGATAATTATGACTAATTAAAATAAAATAAAAATAATAAAAATTACTTAATTACATTATTGCCCTTATTAATTTATTTATATTTAATATAAGTTAATTTATTAATTAAAAAAATTTGAGGTTATTAGGTTGTTCTCGTGTTCTCGTAAATCACAGGGGTTCTCGTTTGAACCTCCACCTATATATATATATATATATATATATATATATATATTAATGTTAAAATGAGTTATAAAGAGTGTCATGTGAAAGATAACATAACGATATATTAATTTAATATGCTTATTTTTATTATTTTGACTTTTAACATAATCAACCCTACACATAATTTCGTTGACTACAAACCCCCTTCTTTATTTATTTTTATTATTATTATTATTTAAATATTACTACTAGGAGTAGGCCATAAATCTTGAAATCCGAAACCTTATAATATAAAAAAATGTTATAAATCAGTATTCCTCCAAAGTTTTGTAATCACCGAGATAAACAATTGAACTGTTAAGTTACATATATTAAATTGCATTTCAGTAATCAATTTATGTAGTTTGCTTTGTATCAGTTTTAGGATGGATGAAGGGTTAATTAATTTAGTGGATTTTAAACCATTGATCTGAATTCATTTGTTTTTTAAACTTAATTCTTATTCAACTAGTCTGTAAGATCAATACAAAGTTCCATCTTTATACAGTCTGAGCAAAGTTTTGGTGTTCTATTACACGAACATGGTTATGAAGAGATAGATAGCAAATGAGACGCTCGGTCCCATATGACGTATTGAGACTATCAAGTAGACAACTTTTCAGGATTAACTGTTTCTGTTAATTTTAAAAACAATCAGAGAAACTGTATTTGCAATATGATGATCGCTAATTATCCTTCTCTTTTTTATGTTATATAATCAATTCAGTTCATAGAATCAAATTTGATGGTATGTTTTGTGGGAGTTATATTATGACTGATACAATAACCGTATTTGCTTCACTTACAAGAAAGAAGATCAATTAGGTTTACAACGTGCATGAGGAGATGACAACAATATAGGTTTTTTGCACGATCCCGTCTTACTTCGTCCCTCATGAGGAAAAAACGGAGGCAATAACCCACAAGGGTGATGTCTGATTGCTTTGAGCTTGGCTCCAAATGTCAAAAGTACCAGGAGGTCTCATGTTCAAATCCAATGAGGATTAAAAACCCCCTTGTGGTCACGGAGGTTCAAATGCGGTGACTCCAGACTATCTGCAAAACAGGTGGTCGTGCTGGGATTAGTCAGCTCGCATAGCGGGTTGGATATCTAGGTTAATAAAAAAAAAAACAGAGGCAATACAAAATACGAAGATGATATTAGAAATGTGATTTAGATTCGAAATGGATACAAGATGTACTTCAAACTCTTGTTGCTTTCTTGTATACATATGTTTGGTAGTTGAATGCATGAGATATTCTCTAGCTATTTCTTAAATACAAGTGAAGTTTGAATTTGTCTTTTTTATAAAATTAAGGGGTCTTAAATGCACTTAAGTAAAAGATGAAGGGCTTAATTAACCTACTGAAAAGACAACCCGATAACACGGTTTACACCGAAGAAGCTCACCGTCAAATGAAACTCAAGAAAGTTACAATTCTGGCCCATTATCTTTCCATTTCTGACCATTTTTGGCCCCTCACACATCTAGGCATCTTTATGGCGACATGCTATATTTTTTTAAATTTAAAAATTATTATTCAAATATTTATTTTATATCATTAAAAGCTATATATTTTTATATAAATACTAAAAAATATGCATTTAGTTGCCTTACGCTAACTATTTTTTCACGTTTTATAAAATAATCGAATAGGTATGTCGGAAAAGAAAATAAAGATAACGTAGCATTAAAAATTGAGTACAAATGGACCCAATCAATCACAATGGGGCGGGCGTTTGTCCCTTAGAACAAAGTCGCACATAAACAACTTGGCGTCATATATTCAGCCACGGGACCCATTAACGCTCTTAATGCTATATAGACTACGATATATTTTCGTTTATAACAAAATACAGATGATAAAAAAATAAAGGTAAGAACCACATACATTTAACAAAGAAAAGGTTGTGTTACATCCATGCAAGACCAAATTTTCATTTAAGTTGACTAAAGGTTTATCGTTATCTTTGTGATCAAGTATCTCTCAAGCTGAACAATATATTGAGGTTGCGTTTAGACGTTTCAACGACACAAATTCTTGACCAAATGTGTTGGACGAGAAGGGTTGTCATGGGAAATGAGAGTACATAGACGGATCAACGTTTACAGTGTTATGCTCAATCCAGTGGTTTAAATATAACTTGATGCTTTCTTCAACCAACTATTTAGGATGACATCGTATCTAAATATTTACTCGCACATAAGATAACGGAAATCAAACAAGAAAGTCCGCTCGACGTGCAACTTAGGAGGGATTAGTTAGTCATATGCTAATTCATCGCAAACATGCTTCAAAGATTTGGAACAACTTGTGTTTGTGGTGGAGTTTGTTCTGGGCAATGCTAGGTTCATTTTGTAATATCAGTCTCTATGTGTTCCTAGCGGGTTCTTCTTATAAGATTTAAATCTCCGTTCAGTTGGATTCTTTGACTCGAATTAGGATTTTCATCGATGGCATTTTGTTCAAATTCGAATCACAAAAACTTGTAGAACAAACGCCTTTCTACATGACATAAGATTACCGCTCTTCTATAATTATGAATATCTGGATCAATTTGGCCCCAAACTTGACAAATTTAGTGGGACCTTGAAGCTAACAGACAAACCCTCCAGTGACCCTGAAAAGATCTAAACTAATGATACTTAAGGAACAACTTAACGTCTTACCAGCTGACCCATCACAAAAGGTTAACGTCTTATAAACACTCACATACCATCACATGTCTACTCATTCTCTCTTCACATCGATCAACATCAAACCTTTCTTTTTCTATGTTCTCGGTAAATGATTTGATTTGGTTTTAACCTAAATGGGCGCACGTAACAAACAACCCTTTTAATTTGGTACTTATCATAAAACAATACCGTCACCAATTTTTTGATAAAATAAAACAAATTCAATTAATTTCGATCCGATACATAAATTTCAAAATCTTTATCAAACCAATATTAATTTATGATGTTTTTAGTTGCAACCCAGATTTCAAGAATAGAAAACCTTTTGGTGTTTTAACGTTGAAGGCCCGGCATTTACACTTTCCCCGATCTTTATACCCCACCAAAATACCAGTGCCACCCCACAAGGAAATTAATTTAAAAAAAAAATATTAATTGGGTTCTATATAACTTGATCGTAACTCAGCCTGTAACCTTCCCCCAGTTCTCTCGATTGATTGTGCTTTTTATTTGCATCACAAACAGCAACAGCAGAAATCTCCCTCTCCTACACCAACCTTTCATTATCAAACCCAACTACATTCATCACTTCACTTTCCTACTCAATCTTGATATAAATATGATGTATTTCTTGGAGTTTTTCATGATTTAATCCCATTTTAGGACAATTTCTCATCTGGGTTTTCGATTTTACCTCGAAAATATCGTTTCTTGACTTCGATTTTCAATTTTTTCATGATTCAATCCCATTTTTAGGCCAATTTCTCAGCTGGGTTTTCGATTTTACCTCAAAAAGAGTGTTTCTTGACTTCGAATTTCAAGTTTTTCATGATTCAATCCCATTTTAGGCCAATTTCTTATCTGGGTTTTCGATTTTACCTCAAGAAGATCGTTTCTTGACTTGGAATTTCAAGTTTTTTTGTTTCGCCATGGACAGAGACTTCTTTCTCAATGCCGGATTGCAGTTTCCGGCGTCTCAGCCCGCCTGGAAGTTGATGACATTGATGCCGGAGATGAACTTTCCGGTGGACCAGTCTTCTGCAGACGGTGTTTGCGGACCAAACTGGGAGAAACCAGATCAGTATTCTCATTTCGAATCTGCTCTGAATTCAATGGTGTCATCCCCTGTTTCCGGCTCGACGGTTTCCACGGACATTATGGCAGTCCGTGAACTCATCGGAAAATTGGGCAGCATCCGCAGTGGTTGTGGCAGCCTTTCTCAGGCCGCCATGACTGCCGCTGTGCCGCCCAGTAGCTCACCGTTAAATTCATCACCACCACCCAAGTTAAATTTGCCAATTATGGACCATTTTGTGAAAGAAAGCATTCCTATTATCGGGAATTCAATGCCGTTGAATCAAAATTTACCATTAATCGCGGCTGATCCTGGTTTCGCCGAGCGGGCGGCGAAGTTTTCTTGCTTCGGTAGCCGGAGTTTCAACGGTAGAACTAACGAATTGGGGTTAAATAGAAACAACCCTGAGTTCCAATTAGGATCTAGTGTTTCTCCGATGACCGGAAACTTGAAATTCCCCCGGGTTTCGAGTAGTCCGGCGCTGAGAATTGATCGTTCTCCGGTGGGATTTGAAGATTGCAAGAAGAATTCCGAGGAATCCAACATGAAATCAATGTGTTTGGATAAGAAATTCAGTAGATTTTCAAGCTCAGCTGCCAATTCCAATGAAGAATCCTCTGTTTCTGAACAAATCCCAAGTGGGGAATTTGGATTCAAGAATCAAAAAGATTCGAATTCAAGAAAAAGAAAAGGTGGATCAACGAAAAAGGTTTGAAACCCATTTTGATCACAGAAATCCCAGATGTAATCACCAAATTATTTGATTCAGGTTTCATTAAAAATTGGGAATTTTTCGTGTTTTTAGGAGGAAGACGCCATCGGTGATTCGAACGCGAAAAGATCGAAAAAACCCTTAGAAAATGGAGGTAAAACAGAGGAAAACACGAAGGCAATTGAAGCACCAAAGGATTACATTCATGTTAGAGCAAGAAGGGGTCAAGCTACAGACAGCCACAGTTTAGCAGAGAGAGTAAGCTTTCAAAGAATAAAAAAGGCTTTGTGTTCACTCGGGTTTTGGCGCACTGGTCAAGACCCGGTGGAAATCCCATCTGGGTTTGAATCCGGGCACTACCATAGCCCTTGTAGCGCACTCGTCAAGACTCGGGGGATGAAGAAATTTCATCTTTCTAGGGTTTGAATCCAGGCGCCGTAAAGACCCTTTTGGTAATGGAGGTTCCCCTGTGATGACTCCAACCCATTTGTGGTCGCCCGACGATTCATGGGTGTTATGGTGCTAACGAAATCCGCCATTTTTGTTTGTTTTCAGGTTAGAAGAGAGAAGATCAGTGAAAGAATGAAGCTACTTCAAAATCTTGTACCAAATTGCAATAAGGTTCGTTTAAAAATGTCAACTTTGATCATTTTTAGTGTCAAAAAATGCGTAAAAATCGCTAAAAGTGTTCGATTTTTAACCATATAGGTTACAGGAAAAGCACCAATGCTTGATGAAATCATCAACTACGTGCAATCATTACAGAAACAAGTCGAGGTATAACAGAAATCTAATCAAATTCGCCATTTTAAATTCGTTTAAAAAGCTTCAAGCCTCTTATGTTCTTCGTAATCTCTGTCTTTTCATAGTTTCTTTCGATGAAGTTAGCAACGGTGAATCCAAGTCTCGATTTCGACACCATTAACGTAAGTCATCTTCTTCGTCAAGAGCCCTAAAAACGTCATCATAATTCAAGTTTCTTACATGGGTTCGAATCGAATTGCAGATTAATCAATCAAACAACAATCATTCCCACCAAATTCAATCGACATTTTACAATCAAAACCCACAAACAATCTTCAACGGATCTGTTCATGAATTCACAGAACCATTTCCACAGGTAAAGAAATCTTGAATCACCCACTTAATTTCATATCAAAAAACCCCCAAAATTTATGTGAAATTGAAACGAATTTCGTTGGTTACAGTTTCCAGGATTTGGCCAAGACGATCTTCAAAGCATTGTTCAAATGGGGTTTGGTGAAAATGTTGATCTGTGATCCGCCATTTTTGTTGAAATGGAGCTCTGATGGCAACCATGGTGTATATAGAAAGAAGAGAAGAGATCATCAATGGTTCATATTAAAAGAAGATGAACTGCTGTTTCGGCTAATCGATTTTTAGGTCTAATTGAAGCAATATTCTTCATAATATTTTTATATTTCTAGTTTATCTTTTTTGTAATTTTCCATTATTATGTAATTTTAGTATATATAAAATATAAATATAAACACCATTTGTGTAATATATTTAGAGGTGAATCTTGTTTGACAAAAAAATTATGTCTCTTAATGATTCTAAACCTTCTGAATGATTTTGTATCATGAGCCTCCATTTACCATTAAGAGCCTTAATTTTATTGTAAACAATTAACAAAAAATTATATTTCATTTTACAATCCTCTTAATCATTCTGACCACTTAATAATTCTGCACAAAACTATTCAGCAACTATCAAACAGCCCCTTAGTTAATAGAGAAAAGTGAGCACCTTCATTCTAATCATTTGCTTTAAACTGACTGAGTTAACATATTCGTTAAAATAGGAAAAATAAAGAAATAAAAAAATACTAATATATTTAGTACTTTTTTAGAATAAAAAAAATAAAAGATATGATAAAATTAGATATTTGTAATCGTGATCTGTTTGTCAGAACCAATTGGTGTTTCTGACAAACAGATCATAGCTACAGGGGTGTTTCTATGATCTGTTTGCCAGAACCAAGGGGTGTTTCTATGGAAACCTCCACAAACAAGCGTTATTCTTTCTATGGTTTTTCCTCTTCACATTTGAGTAAAGACAAGTGATTTTGGAAACAGGACACGGAATAAATCTTAAAAGTTTGTAGAGACTTTTATCATATAAATCCGCTAAAACGTCATCGTAAATAGATTTCAACGAGTTAAAAATAAAACCGAAATAATTATAATGAATTATAATAAGATTTTAGAGTTAAAAAATAAATTTTTTTTTATTAACCTGAATATCCAACCCGTTATGCACGCCGACTAATCTCAGGGCAACCACCTGCTTTGCAGATAGCCCAGAGTCACCGGATTTGAACCTTCGTGTTTATTTCTCCTTGGATTTGAACCTGAGACCTCCTAATACTTTTGACCTCTGAAACGAAACTCAAACCAATCAGACACCACCCTTGTAGTTAAAAAAATAATAATAAATAAATAATTTAAGAATGGAAAGATAGCGATATTTCCATAATTTCTGCCACATTTTCTGCTCCTGTAGTTTTCACAGATTTACCAAAAACTCGAACCTTCTGTTCTGTTCTTCTTCATGATTACAGCAATAAAACATTTTTTTTAAAATAATTAATATTTTTTAATTAAAAATAAATAGGAATAATTAGAAGAATCCCAGGTTGGCTTTGGTGAATTCTGACTAGACCCAATGAACACATAATTAATTAATTAATTAAATATTAAAATATTGGTGTGACAAAAGAAAAGATAAAGATTTGAGTGGGTTTACAGGTAATGTTGAATTTTAAATTCATAGGGGGTGGTTAGTAAAAATCCAATTTTTGGGGGTTGTATTTTTAAAATAATATTTTTTTTATAAATTGACAACTTTACCCTTCTCTTATTTTATTTTATTTATTAATTTATTTTTAAAAATAAATAAAAAAGATTCTTTAAAAATGAGATGTTTTACAGAAGAGTTAAGAACTAAAAAGTGGTTTTAATAAAATGGTTAGGTGCCAGAATTGTCCCCCATTTAATTATTTTTTAAAAAAAATCAATCATATGGGTCTTGAAATTTAATTATATTCGCTTTTTTAATTTTAAAAATATTATTTTAATCAAATTTATGAGAAATTGATCAAATTATTCATTTTGGATGGTCGTTTTTTGTAATTTATTTAAATATTCAAGATTTCGTAAGTGTTTATCTCGCAACTTATGAAATGTATTTTTCTTGAATTAAATGTAAGAGGTTGTTTGTTTACTTCTTAATAGTTTCATCAAGAGGCAATCTCGAAATCTTGTTTGGCAAAAAAATGTATGTATTTTAATGGTTCTGAAATCCTTTGAATGATTTTGTATCATGGGACTTTTTTAACCATTCAGCACCCTGATTCTATTGTAAATGATTACCGAACAGTTATATTTCATTTTACACTATATCAGGAGAGTCTCTTAATCATTCTGACCACTTAATTATTCTGCACCAAACCCCATTCAGCAACTGGCAAATAGTTCTTAATTCTGGTAGGGTTGGTTGCGGATTTGACATGACGGCTTGTAAGATGTTACTTTGACTTGTGAAATCTTTTTAGTGGCTTGTGAAATGATCCATCATAAATATATTTTATTTATAAAATCTTGATTATTTTTTGGTTAAAAAATAAAAATGGAATGGAAAATAAGTGGTTTAATCAATGTGTAAAATGCGATATCAAAAAGTCTTTACAAGTATCTTTTGCATAATCAAATGTTGACTATTTACATCTACTTGTTACTCTTGTCAGAATTTTTGCTAATAAACTATAAATAGTTATGTTTTTTTTTTAAGTTATATGCATGTGTATATATATGGTTGGGTTATTGTGAGACCAATATGTCTTTGTGACCATAAAATAACGCTGAATGTTCATAGCAAAATATTATGAAAGTACAAAAAACACCAAACCTTGACAACAATAACACTATAAAGGTTGCATTCACAGCATCTTGTTGTGAACGTTTAGTGATATTAAGGTGGTCTCAGAGGTCTCATAAGAAACATGATTCCAAGTCTATATATATATATATATATATATATATATATATATATACACACACACACACAGATATATATATATATATATACATAGATTTGGGATCATGTGAGACAATACTGTTTTCGTGAGACACGTGGGACAAGTTATTTACACTTGAAACTTCACAGCAAAACACTGTGAAAGTAACCTACTGGGAAGGTTCAGATTTTTTTTTACATTCACAACATTTTGTTGTGAGGTTTCAAGTCTAAAAAACTAGTCTCACGTGTTTCACGAAAACAACCATGTCTCACGTGAACCCAACTATATACACACACACACACACACATATATATATATATATATATATATGGAAAGTTTCAAGTACAAACCATGTAATTCTTACAAAAATCTCCACCATTGATTTTGTTTATTTTCAAATTTAGAGACGGTTACAAAATGCGGCTGAGAGTAAATTTAGTAACCGAATTAATCCGCACTATTGTTTTTGTATATGTATGGTTGAGATCAGTTTGTAAAAATTACATGGTTTATAAAATAAATTTCACCCATATATATCGAGAACTCTTTAAATCGTGAGATCTCAAAGAACCAGTGATTAATATATATTTGTTTTCCACCGTATGCTATTTATATGATATTTTTTTATCTATGACTAGAATTTGGTGTAGTGATTGAGATATATCCAGTAAAATTATATATAAAGGAAGGAAAGAGAATCTTATAACAATGATAAAAACAGCCGTAAAATGATTAATCATATGATGGTGAGATGTTTTAACGCGTTATAAATATTATTAATCATTAATTTATGTATTTTTAATTAATTACTTTCTAATTATTTATTAATTAAAAAAAAGAATCTTGAGAACATATTTTTATATTAATCTCATGGAATTTTCTATTTTTATGTCCCCATTCATTGTCTTGTATTTTATTGTATGGTTTTATTTTTTTTAAATAATTATTAAAATCAAATTTATTTAAACACTTTATAATGAGCTTAATTTAATTCAAAGTAATGGGCAATGGTCACATGGCATGTCTAGTTTTTGACCTTCATAAACACTTTTTTTTTGGGTGGTACAAGTTTAGACCACTAAGGTTCAACAAGATGTGCCAAAGTGTTAACTAATTAAATAAATCAGTAATTTTCTGGTTTCGATATCAGCGTTCTTCATTGTCTTATAATCAGTATTCTAAACATGGGTTTCGTTTTCGTTTGTGTGTTAGACTTCAGGTGATCAATCAGTTCGTGTTGATACAACAGTTTCAGTTTATGTCTGATTTTATAAGACGGTAGATTAAAAAGTCAAGTTTTTCAGGGACAATGATGAATGAGAGATTATATGATGTTTGTGTTGTATCGACGGAGAAACAACATGGCTGCAGGGCCGTCTTTTAGTATGTTAAATGTGAGATTGTGAACAGGGCCTCCGAAATTTTGGAGCCCAAATTTACATGTGTTTAGGGTATTTTATCGACCTACGTAAAACTATAGCCGAAGTTCTTTAGGACCAAACCATTAATTGTTTGTTTTAGGTTCAAATCATTAACAGTTTATGTTTTGTTTCAGATTGTTAATTGTTTTATGTTTAACCCATTTTTGTTTTTAACATATATTCTCTGTTATCTCATTTATGCAATGTAATCAAAAGTTTTAGATGTAGCGGAGCCTCCAAAAAGATTGGAACGTCCCCGAACATGGGTTTTGGCTCGAATTTGATTCAATATGATCAAGGGTTTGATGCGTATTAACAGTACTGAGATGATTTGACTGTTTAAATTGTACTGTCTTTATCACTTAATTTTTAAAATATTGATGAAAATTTGACTTTTTATTTAGTTGGTTCCACTAGGAAGAGAGAAATGATTGTGATGAGAGGAAGTTGATGGTGGTGGTTATACCCTATGATCATGAAGGTGGGTCTCCATTACCATAATATTAAGCTTCACTTTTTTTTCCACATAAAAATATCTAAAAATGAAAAAGTAATATTGTTTATGTTTTAGAAAAGTATAATATTTAATATGGACGCAGATTTTATCTGTTATTTTTGTAAAACTTAATCAGTTTGATTCAATATCAACAGATATCACAACAGACTGATAAGATTGATTGTTGTCACAGACTTAATTCTGTTAAATATCGATTTTCCATGTCAAATTATGAGTTTTAGAATGAGACTGGTTCTGCACAACCTCAATATCTGGTTATCATTTAAAACATCTGATAAAAACCCGATAAAATAAAAAATTCGAAAAATGAATCGTTAGAACTGTTGCGCCATAAACAGAACATTGAATTGCTGAAATGGTTTTGTATGATAAAAAAAACGCATCTATCATGGAAAGAATTTGTGTTTTAAGCAAAACTTGTTGTCAATGATTTCGTCTGACAAGATTATGATACGATATCAGTATTTTTTTTATTTTAAAAAACAGCTGTTTTA